CCTGTTCAAAAATTGCTTACCGTAAGTTCTAGTGAAAGAATTATAAAGAAAGTACCTAAGTTTAATAATTTGACAGTATATTGTGGATTTGAGGATTCATGATATTCTTGGGATACATTTTAGAAAAACCGAAAAACGGCTTCTGCACATAGCAAAGGAGGTAAAATTTTAAAATGATGTAAAAATAAGCATTATGAGAGAATAAAAAAGAATACATTGTATATATTGTGGAATTGGAAAAGGAGGTGTCATTTGAGAAGAAACTTGAAGGATCTTCTATTAATCAGAGTCTAGTGTTTCAGACAATGTCCATCTAATAATGAGCAATAGTTACTTGATGATTAAAGACTGAAGCCTCTGGGGATGCTCAACTGATTTAGGAAGTTGCTACCATTCTTCAGACTAGCAGGAGGAAAAGAAAAGAGAGAATGAAAGAAGCTAAAAGGAGAAGAAGCTCTCTGCAGTTGGTGCTCGGACCTCTTAGAAGAAAGAAGCTGTTGTTTCACACATACTAGACCACTGAGGGGGCCTAGCTGTTTTCTCAGACATCCCAGCGGGGCTCTGCTGGGCGTTGGGAAGATGGGGGTGCACTATATTGTTCTCCTCCCACTCAGGTGAAGTGACATCAGGGCTGGATGTGTCAAGGAAGCTGGAGGCTGAAGCCATAGTTGTCTGCCCCAAACGGAGAAGGAGACCTAACCTGGAAGCCACAAAAAAGTCCTTCTCACAAATTCTACCTCCTGTCCACATTTCCTACTGGCAAAATCTACTTGGAGATTGGCTGAAAATGGAAGTCTGGAAAATGTAATTTTTGGAACCTTAATCCTAGCTTCTCAGAAAAGAGTAGATAAGGAGGTGGTGGGACGGGGTGGGACTTGGAACTAATAGCCAGCAGGTAAAAGAAGGAGAGATGTAGAGGTTTAAATGTAAAGCAGCAGGGTGAAAGGAGGTACTTCCAGTCTCCTGAAGGCCTGAGCATCAGCAAAGAGTCTGGAATGGGGAAGGACAGGTTGGTCAATGGTGGTGATTCCCTGATGCAGGTCAGAAATGGGTCTAGGTGATAGAAATATTAAAGTGAACGAAATAGGTAATAGCTGTTTGTAGACTATTTAATTTAACCTCAGCATCAAACTTGTAATAGGAAAAAGTAGTGAATAAGTCTAAAAAGGAAGGACAGGAGCCTAGAACTGCATTCTGGATCACTTGTGGCATCCATGTGGGATAAGGACATGTAACTCCCATGGTTAATATCTGAGGCTTTTGAAAATGAATATTAATTCAGAAGGCTTATAGAATAGATTCACTTTTGCTGATAGTTATTATTTTATCATTATCATTGTCATCATTATCACAATTATATTATTTATCCAGTACTCAATATATAGCAGAAATTGAACACTTTCCTATATCACATTGAACCCTCCAAACAAGACTATGAAGCAGCTGTTATTTTCCCTATTTTATATGGGAAGTAAATGCAGATCAAAATGAATACATTTTTTGGTCAAGGTCATATGTTTTGTAAGTGGTTGAACCTGGATTCAAACTCAAGTCTGATCCCAGATTTCTTTAAGCATTACATGCTTCTACATTTGAGAAAGGGACATCCAGACTCACATGTCCTTTCAAAATACTGTCATCCACAAGGTCACCTCAAGACTCAGGTACCACCTGGCAGCTTGAGCCATCTCTCTAAGTTCTTAGTTCAGTTCATTTATAATACCCTCTGAGTATTACTTCTCCTCCTTCTCACTTCAGGTTTGTCACAGTCCTCTGAGATGACAGGCTGAGAGATGGTGATGAGAATTGTGGTAATATAAATTCCATAAACAGAAGAGGCTGCCAGGAGTGGACTCAAAGAGGTTCACAGAGGGCACATCTGGGTGACAGCAGCTCCAGCTGTTGTAGCATATGTGCAAAATACTGGTATGCCTGCACACCCATGCAGACCTGATCCTAGCTGTTTATAAGAAAGGATAAACTCAGGAATGCAAATTTATAGGCTGGAGTTGCTCTGTTTCTTAAGTCTTAAGAGTTTGGCTCTTTATCTTACACACATAAATGCAGTAGACAAAACCTCCACATAAATAAGCAGCAGGTGTACTAGTATTTTCTTGCCAAAATGTTATGTAAGTGTTAAGCTGAACTGATCAGCAGAAGCACACATCCATCAGTTTCACTGCAGAAAGTAGGAGGAGGAAGGTGAAGATGAGCAGGCAGGTTAAATGAAAACTCATCTGGTTTGCAAAAGAGTTACTTATTGCTCAGAGTGGGAAGGTGCCCAGGGGTCATGAGATGTGACAGCACCAACAAAAAATCCAGAGCTTGCAAACTCTGATAAATGTTTAGGATTTAACGGGGAGTGTCCACACAAATTCAAAATGATTTAGAAAAAGGTAAGTGATCACAACAATGTCAACAACATCTATCAAGCACTCTGCTGAGTATTTTTGCTTACATTAATAGCCTATTACCTAATCAAACTCTCTGGATATGTGTGGTGCATTATTTCATTTAAGAAGCAGTCTTAGAGATGTAAAGGAACTTTCCAAAAGTGTAGATATTTGAGATATAGATGGATATTATAGAACTAGTAAATAAGATGCAGAAATAGAATTTGAACTTGGAATTGCCTAAATTAGTAATTACTATAACCAAATGCTCTATTTCACATCCTAATTGCTGGGGATTCCATTTGAAATAGCCAGATCGTGTATAAGCACGTATCTGTACACTGAAGTACATCTATTTCTAAAGGAGATTACTAATTGTCAAATATTCAGACAAGTATGTGTGTTGGCTGTGTGATGTGACAGGACCAGTTTTGAGTCTCCTATTTTAACAAAATGTGCTGCTTATTTTTTTTATTTTATAAGATACATCAGGAAAACTTTGTTCAGTCTGAAGAGCTTAGGATGGTCTCCTGTATTTATCCTGTAATGTGTTCAAGCTCTAGGGTAAAATACATTTAAAACACAAACCCAGGATGTGTCCTTTTAAGCTATTATATAGGATATCATGTAAGCCAATAAAAACCACAAAATTCCCAATCTGGTCAAAATGGACCTTACTGGATTAATGTATGCATCCTAATTCATGGATTCACATAATTTCTCATCAGCTTCCTTCTAAATGCCATTCCATGCACATTTTACATAACAACATTGCTGAAAAATGCATGGATCCACACAGATATAGCATCCTTTTTTTTTTAGACTTGCTTTGTCACCCAGGCTGAAGTACAGTGGCATGATCTCAGCTCACTGAAATTTCCGCCTCCCGAGTTCAAGAGATTCTTGTGCCTCAGCTCCCTCAAGTAGCTGACATTACAGGCATGTGCCAGCACACCCAGCTAATTTTTGTATTTTTAGTAAAGATGGACTTTCACCATGTTGTCCAGGCTGCTTTTGAACTCCTGACCTCAGGTGATCCGCCCTCCTCAGCCTTCCAAAGTGCTGGAATTACAGGTGTGAGCCACCCGTGCCTGGCTAGTCTCATCCTTCTTTCTTTGTCTTTGCACATCCTGTTATCTCATGATCTTTTCCCCATGTCCTAGTTGTACTGCACGATTCAGTTTGGTCTTCATCTTTTCGGCAAACGTTCCTTAGTTTAGATATTAGTGTCCATCTCAGCTATTCCAAGGGCATCCCGGGCATGTTATTATTATCACCACTGCTTAGTGGTGAACAGTAGGGATGGTCACAGTGTTAGCAGTAGTAGCATTTATGGCAGCAGGAATAGTGGAAGAGGTAGTGATACTCATACTTGACCTCACTGAGTATCTCCAATATATCAGGCACAGCACTGGGAGTGTTAAATATATGAACTCTAATCCACTAAAACTACATGAATTAGCATGAATTAATTATCCCTACTTTACATCTGAGGGAAACTGAGTTTCTCTTAGCTTCTCTTCTATCAGTGGCTGTTTCTCCCTTAACATTTCTTATTTTCTGTCTTCATGCTCCCATTTTTCTCCCTTAAACACCTTAGATATTTCTTTATTTATCTTTTATTATGTTCTATCATTTTTCAGATTTCTAAATCATTGATTTCTTTTTTCCCCCTTACTAATTCTGTTCCCCTTTCCTTGTGATTTATTCTTTCTTCTAACAGTTTAAATCTAGTTTCTTAATTCATTTAAATTTTCCCATTTTATTAATTCATCCATGTAAGGCTATTAATTTTCTTCTGAGCAATACCTTAGCTGTGTATTCTACTACATAAATTTGTATTTTATGTATTCTGATACACAATTTTTTAGGTCATTTCAACTTATGACACATTTTAGAATTAAGCAATATCTTCATCTAGGGGTGAATGGTATGCATATTAGTACACTAAGCTCCATTTTGATCAATGAAGCTGATAATCCAATGATTATCAGCCAGGTTACAGTCCCAACATAGCTGATAACTAATGCTGGAAACGGTATAGCCTGGGACATTGCTCCTGTTGGCATTATTTCAGCTGAGTTATGTACATTATTGATTCTAAAGAGCTAAGTTCAGTTACTGTTTCAAATACCTTTATTTTGTTGATCTAATATGATCTATGAACACTTTCCAAGAAGACCTACCATTAAAACGTTCAAAATGCATGTCAATGGCTTCCAAGAAAATTCTGGAGATAATAGTGGAGCACTTTCCCAAGTAAGGCTGCATTACTAACGCACTTAATGTCATAGTAGGAGAAAAATTCTAAAGACTATAACAGAGTTGAGTCATGGTTTATTGGCAGAAATTTTCTTCTTAATGAACACAGGAGACCATCTTACAAATGGTGGTGTCTTGGATTAATAAAAATGAAAACACATGTTTTAAGTTTATCACGTACTTAAAACTTACAATTTCATTTTCATTTCCATTTTGAACTATGGGTCTTTGAGAAAGAGTTTTTTAAATCTCCAGGTGAAATTGGCTTTTTACTTTTCAGTTTTGTTTTCAATTTCCAGCTTTCTTGTATAGAGATCAAAGAGAATATTCTATATTTATATATTTAAATAATTTATTGAGGTTTTTTGTGGCCTCAATATATGGCAGGTTTTGTCAATGTTTCCAGGCTATTTGAATAGAAAAGGTTTCCCCTCTTTTGAAGGAACAGAGTCCTTACATACTTATAGGAGATGTTTGGTAGCCTTTTAGTGGGGCTATAAATAAAATAAAATTCTATAATCTTTGCAGAAGGTGAAAAATTAAAGAAACCAGATTTGAAGGAGACTATAGTTAGCGGTGTACCCTCAAATGAGAGTGTAAGGCAGAATGTGCACTTGAAATAAATATAATATTTATATTATT